AAGTAGGTGACCAATATTCAGTTTTCAAGTAGCTGATGATGGCTCAGGACCACTGAGCCCTTACTATTTTTTGATTGACCCAAAACTTTTTATTTATAAAAATTTCCAAGTAAATGTAGATGTATTCAGGTACCCATATGTTTCAACATACCTTTAGAATGGTATTTTCTTGAAAGTTTTCTCCAGTTCAAATATGTCTTCTATTGGTCTGAGAACAAGATTAGTAGCCAGGAAGATCTGAGATCAACATTGATTGTGATAGAAATACTTCACATATTACGGTGCTTCTGAAATGTGACGGAAACTTACCTTGTAAAATTTCCTTTTCCTCAGTACACTTGGTTTAATTTTTTAAAAATCTAAATCAAAGCAGAAGAGTGTTTTCTCTTCAAGGAAGAATACAAATGAATGTCAAAGACTTTCAGGCTATTTTGTTCCATTACTGAAATCAGAGCCATCAAAGCAGAATAGCTGTCTTATATTCTTCTATGCCATATTTTAAGTACTTACTTCCTATTGTAGTGTGGGGGAGTTGAATAACTTTATGAGCAGGAGGTCAGGTTACAGTCAAGCTATTTGCTTTTTCATAGTACTAGTGATATTTGTAGCACACTGCAAATAAGGTTTCCATCAGTGTAAGGTTAAGAGACGTGTGTTAAAAGAACAAATGTCATGTATTGATAAATGTTGTGGTTTAACCCGGCAGGCAGCTAAACACCACACAGCCGTTTGCTCACTCCCCCCCCAGTGGGATTGGGGAGAGAATCGGGAAAAAGGTAAAACTCATGGGTTGAGATAAAGACAATTTAATAGGACAGAAAAGGAAGGGAAAATAATCGCTCACCACCTGCTGACCAATGCCCAGCCAGTTCCCGAGCAGCGGTCACACCCCCCAGCCAACTCCCCCAGGTTTATATACTGGGCATGACGTCATATGGTATGGAGTAGCCCTTGGGCCAGTTTGGGTCAGCTGTCCTGGCTGTGCCCCCTCCCAGCTTCTCGCTGGCAGGGCATGAGAAGCTGAAAAGTCCTTGACTAGTGTAAGCACTGCTTAGCAACAACTAAAACATCGGTGTGTTATCAACATTGTCCTCATTCTAAATCCAAACCACAGCACTGTACCAGCTACTAGAAAGAAGAAAATTAACTCTATCCCAGCCAAAACCAGGACATAAATTACAATAAAAAAATAAATATACATTGATAATTAGTAGAAAATAAGTTTCAGTTTCTATATCTGAAAAAAGAATTTTTATAGAATGTGCCTGAAGAAGAGATTTGTGCAGGTTCTGGAGCTTTCTAAGCATAATTTTATTTTATTATTGTTTCAAAGAAGCAGTAATCACAATGGCCTGGAGGATTTTTCAGTGGTGTGGAAACCTTTTCAGAAAAGGTAGTAATCCTTCTGACAAGAGATATATAGTGCTTAGTTGAGCTGGCAGCTGGAGGGTGCGTATCACAGCTGTTGACATGCATTTAAAGTTCTCTTAACTTTTAATGTTCCAGGAAAGCCCTGGAAAGGCAGGAGTAGTCATTTTCCATGGTGTACCTAGCTGGAGGTACATGAGGAAAGGCTTTTACTAAGGTATCTTTAAGGTAGTTAATGGTGAGAAATGGATTAGACAAAGGCTCATGAAGGTGAGTGGGAATTAGCTTGTGATCTAAAAATAACAGCAGATTTTTAATAGTAGTGACTGGCCATAAGTTTTCACGAGTACTGTTCCTTCTACCATGATTTAATAGCGTTGGTTTAAAATGTATAGCATACATTGTACCTGTGTTTGTAGCAAGTATTTTTAAAAAGAAAAAAAGTCACTAATGGTAAAGGGGGGCTAATTGTGTTGTGATGACCAGTAAAGAGAATGACAGGCTTGAATACTAAGTGGTACGGTGACTGCTGGGCAGGATGAGCCCTTTCCTGCCAGCAAGGTTTCTGGCCCATCAGGTGTACAGGTACGGTTAATTTATTTCTGATGGATAGGATTACAACTTCTGGCATTTCATCCTGGTAGTGAAGTTAGATCCCTTCAGCAGGGATGAAATTAATTAAAAGGGAGTTTGATAGTGCCAATCAACATAGGCCAGAAATTAAATTAGTTACTTCTATCTATCAGGCTGCATTCTCTGAAGAAAAAGGTTGCATTTTCAGGAAGGTCCTTATTCTTGCATGTGGCCTAGTAGTTGCCACATGCAGGGCACCCATGTAAAGCTTTTTCCTTCGTGAAAGGTTGGAATAGATTGAGGACCCAGCTGATCTTTACATTACTGTCAGCCATAGATGGTTTTCCTATATTCATGTCTTAGCAACAAAAAGGAAGAAAGGCAATGACTGCTTGTGGTAAATGTAACAGACAAGGTTAGAAAATGTTTGTGTAAGAGGTATAAAAATATAATGCTAAATTGGCACATCCTCCTCTCATTAACATAGTTCTTGCTAGAAAAAAGGGTGGATTTTTTAGTAAATCTTGTGCCAGTTCTTCAGATGATGTGTTTTCCTGATAGAAGTACATTTGCCTAAGCAAAAAGTCTACAATAAGTGTTTTTACTCATACAGAAATTCTCCCCCCATGACTTTGTAACAGCAATGTTTCCAAAGAGATTTGTCCACTATTCTTTGCATCCATATGAGGACACTGTGACATGGAGTCATATAGACACACACATGTATGTGTGTGTGTGTGTATATATCTATAAAATCTCCTATTTAAAGCTAAAAACAATTCTTACCATTCTGTTGTTTATATTAATATAGATATATGTATGCAGATGTTTAATCCTGAAGAATGTGTACACTCAGTCTGCTCCAAGGCATGTGTGAGATGTGTCAAACTAGATGCTGTATGGTTTTGTGTGTTACACAGTTCATGATGGAGTTGATCCTATAAACCAAACTCACTAGAGTGTTTTGATGTCTTGGAGGGTCAAATCTATGCAAAAATCTGTGGCTGTGAATACAACTTGATCCATATGTAATATAGACTGAGTATTAACAGTAGAGTTTGTGTACATGCCATATGAACACATATTTGTCTCAACCTTGCAATGAGATCCACATGGATGAATGCCATATCTGTTGAGTGCCATTTATTCCAATTGGATTTGCATAGAGATAAGATTTTGCCTATATGGGGGACAGAATTGGGGAGGGGAAATTAGGCACATTTTTATTATAGGCATGGCAGAAATTTTCAGCGATGTAGGTAATTTACTTTGGAACAACTTATTTTGGGATGTGGCATATTTTTCATCAGCTGAAGTATTTAAATGAAAAATATTTATCTTCCTTAAAGTAAGTTTCCACATCCGATCTCTGTTGTCTTAATGAAAACCTCTATGTCTTTGCAAACTGTCTGGGTTCTGGTAGTTCTGTTGTCCTAATTGTCTGTTCCCGTTGGCCGTTCTGGTTTTAGACTTACGAAACTCTGTTTATGTCACATTAGAACAATTCAACTTGAGTCCCCAGTAGCAGAATCCATAGAGTTTTTGTTAAACTTACAGAGGTTATGATTTGTGCTGGTGCTAACATGACACTTCAGTAAGACAGATCGGACATCTTAGCTTCACCATAAGCAAATAGGCATCCAAATGATGCTTATATTACTTGTCATGCTTCACAGGAAGAGTTGCATTTTTGCAAGATTGAATTAGTTTCCTCATTTGCAGATGCCATTGTAAGGCTAAAGTACTTTCATATTTACAAGGCAAGACTGGGTGCAAATCTTTCAAGCACAGTTTAATGACCCTGTATGGTACCTAAGGCAGGATGCCAATTTGCCAGTCACCCCTCTGCGCACACTCTGCTCGGTTGCTGAACAGAAGATCACTTTTTCTCTTTTTTTCTTTGCTCCAGTTTCCTGCAGGTAACTCCTTCAGATCCATCTGGGGTGAAAAACTAAGTACGAATCTGGACATGTCTGGAAGTAGCATTTTAAATGCTCATTACCCTGTTAGGATTGATAAAGGCAGGATCTGAAGCTCCAGTTTGTTTTTTCCCTATGAATCGCTACTCCCTATTTAATTGATCCCTTCTAATCAGGTAGCAATGTTGTATCAAACAAACAGAACATATAACATTCATAATATATTCCAGACACATCTTCTATTAAAATATTGCATATAATAAAATCCCATGCTTCAGTCACTCATTTGTCAGCATGAGGAAAGTGTATCTGTTGATAATTCTTTTTTCACTTTCCTCTGAAGCCTCAGAAGTTGCCTATGGCTAGATATCGTCTATGACAAAGAGTCAATGCTTAATGTGGTATAGGAACTCCATTCTGGTATCTGACTGGTGTGTCTTGCTCAAATGCTTGGACTAATGTTATTGCCATCCCTATAGGGATGGGAAGGATTTTTTTGTCAAGTCAGAGAGGCAGGACTTTGAAGCTCTTTCCCTTCTTATGCAACACAAAACATGTTTTGTTTTCTGAGTTCAGGTCTTCTGAGTTCATCTGATTTAGACAAGTGCTGCCACTGGATCTTTGTCTGTCCTGTTTTCTGCCCTTGGCACCCATTATAGTTTTGTGGGAACTGGAATGTATGTTTTTAAGCAACAATGGCTGCTAAAAGATCAAACTAACTGAATGATCCATCTAGCCTTAATTTCTATGGTGATTATAAAACCCTATGAGATAGAAGTATACGGTGAAGTTATATTGCTGTAAAATGATTACAAAGGATTATAAAATTTTGGTACTTGTAAAGCAGTTATGACTACAAAGTAGCATAAGTATTTGTATTCTATATTTTATAATGTTGTATTAGCATTTTTCCTTTAAAGCTGTTTTTGATTTAAACTGTGCACCATAAGCAGATTTGTAGCATGACATGCTTTCTTTAATTTAGTACAGAAAATGTGCAAGCACATTCACAAATGCCATGAACTGATTTTTTTTCCCATCAGCTGATCATTCTAACATTTAATTAACATTAACTGTATATTTGTGCTACAAGAAGTATTGACAGAATTCTCTTTCTTCTTTCTTGTCATGATTATTTAGGAAAAGAAGCCCATCAATATCAAGAGAACAGAACAGAAGATACGACCAAAGGGACGAGAGAGACGAATATTCACAGTATGCTACATCAGACAGTGCAATGCCCAGGTCACCATCAGATTATTCAGATAGGCGGTCGCAGCGTGGGCCTCAGTTATATGAAGAACCTGAACTGGGTGATTATAGAGATTCCAACAGAAGGAGTCGCAGGCGTTCCAAGGAGTATCCGGTAGATGAGGAAGATGCACAAAACAGGGAAGAATATGAAAGGCAACGGAGGGAAGAGGAATACCAGGCACGATACCGAAGTGATCCTAATTTGGCTCGTTACCCAGTCAAGCCACAACCGTATGAGGAACAAATGCGTATCCATGCTGAAGTGTCCCGAGCACGTCATGAACGGAGACATAGTGATGTCTCATTGGCAAATACAGAGTTGGAAGATTCTCGGATGTCTATGCTGAGGATGGAACGACCGTCAAGACAAAGATCAGTGTCTGAGCGCAGGGCTGCCATGGAAAATCAACGTTCATACTCTATGGAAAGAACTCGAGAGGCTCAGGGACCAAGTCCCAATCGTCAGAGGACCACAAATCATAGCCCTCCTACACCTAGGAGGAGTCCAGTTCCTCTGGAAAGACCAGACATGAGGCGCTCTGATTCATTAAGGAAACAACACCATTTGGATCCCAATTCTGCCGTACGGAAAACAAAACGTGAAAAGATGGAGACCATGTTACGGAATGATTCGCTCAGCTCAGACCAGTCTGAATCTGTCAGACCTCCACCACCAAAGCCCCATAAAACAAAAAAGGGAGGTAAAATGCGCCAGGTTTCATTAAGTAGCTCAGAAGAAGAATTGGCATCCACTCCAGAGTATACGAGTTGTGATGATGTAGAGATTGAAAGTGAAAGTGTTAGTGAAAAAGGTAAGATTTCTAATTTTTTGACTGTTTCAATATATAGATGTGGTTTAGTTTCCATTCCACTGTATGTTTATTTTACCTATTAGAATTGATTGCAACCACGTATCTACAGCCCTTCACAGGTGACTCAAGTTTGTTGTGATGGGAGGTTTTTTTTCTGATTTTGTGTTTCATTTACTTAAATCTAAATTTAATGATTTACATGGAAAAGAACATCACAGCTACTAGAAGTATTTGGATATGTTAAAGGAAAAAACATGCCTATTGAAAAACTTGTTAATTAAATCTGCAAAGCATCTAAAGCTGGGCTGTCATATAAGGCCATGGTTTCATGTCCATTAATACCAGATTTGCGCACTCCTGGATCACAATGAGTGCATATTTGATCTGGATCAAGTGTTGGCACATGACCGCTTTTCTGTTGAATTAACTAGAGCACATGACACAGCTTATGCCAGTTTCATGCTGGCTGCAGCAGGTTAAAGAGCATCTGATCTGCAAAAAACCCTGTGTGTATAAAGTTAACCCATTCAAGTTTTTAAACAAATTTAAAATGACTGATGTTCTTTATACCAATGGAAGGGGTTTTTTGCTGTGAGGCTATGGTGCTTTTCGGTTTTAGTGCTTTTTAGGATTCCTGATGTTGGAGTTACTCCATTGTCAGAAATAAAAGCTAAGATTAATTGAAATGATTCCCAACCTATCCAAAGGTAATGTATGACTTAAATATGAAAGCATCGGGGACCATCAGTTTAAACTGAATCAAATTAATAATATTAGTTTGCTTACCTTCATATATGTTGTTGGTCCAAAGTACAATAGTTATAACCTGTTTTCAGTTATTATTCTTATGCTAGTGCACCTTTACTAATTCTCATGAATGGTCATCTGCTGTTGTGGATTGGGATTAGAAAATTTGCTACTATTTGTTATTAATATTGCTATCAAATTGGTTCTGAAGCAAGTAACTAATTAGAGTTAGTGGAATAACTCTGAATTGTCATATGTCGATAGCAGCAACCATGGTCTGATAAATAAGGAGCAAGATAGTGTAGAATGGAAGCAAATTTCACCCAGGTCAAAGCAGACAATTACATGCACTTACATGAAACAACTGTGAGGAAACCTTGACACCCTTAGTCTTCCTGATGAGTAGAAAAACTCCTGTCAACTTCAGGGTGTTCACGATTTTGTTCTTAGTAGCAACCTTGAGGAAAATAGACCCAATGAATATACGGGAAGTAGTAACAAAGCGTTTATTTAATGAAATTCAGCATATGAAACAAAGTATACAGAATAATATACAAACAATGTATTTTTTGTACAGATATACAAAACATAAGTTTAAAACTTACTATACAAACAATGTTTAATTCTCTGTCTTCATAATAATCTGACATAAATTATAGCTTTCACTTAAATAATGTTGTATTTTAACTGTCAAAGAAAACATTATTATTGATAACAATAGTTAATTATAATGATAGTCATGTCTGTGCTGATTTCTGAGGTAGTGAATGAAGCTAAATTGAGCATGTATTTTATAAATGAATGAAAAAAGCTTGCAAAATTTTACAGGAAAAAAAATGCTCTGTTTTATGTTTTGTTAATCTTAACTGAATTACTGTAAGCAGTTCTCATGACATATAGAGTGTAGCTGTGTCAGCATGGCCCAGTGGTGGCCTGTGGCTGGAACCAGTGTGGAGAACAGCCTTGGTTTTTCATAGAGGAAGAAAGCAACTGCTTGAACTGGGGAAGATGTCTGACTGCTTCTGACTGTGCCTGCTTCCAGCCTGGGCTGGAGGGTCCTGTTTCTGCCCTTGCTGATGGGCTGGGAGGCAGTGACCATGCATGAAACAGGCAGCCATCCCAGCAGTAACACCTGTACCCGGAGCCAGAGCCAGCTGGTGCCAGCCTCAGCAGCCCTGGTCATGTTACCGGACAATATCCTCAGCCCCATTCATACTTCTCCCCCACTCTTTAACCCCTGGAGCCGATGCTCCAGGAAAGTATTTGATTGGATATGGGAAGATTTGGCTTCTGCTAGGCATGGGGGAGGAGAGAAGAGATCTGCTAGGATGAAGAGGAAGAGGGGGTCTCACCACCTGGATCAAGCCTTCACAGCTGCTATAGGTAGACCCACAAAGTCCTACCTCATTCTTTTTATTTTCATGAATGTCTCTTACCATGTAAACCATCCTGCACTCAGAGTCTCTATAAGCAAGTGATTTCTTCATGAATACCACAAAAAGGAATACAGTACATAAACCCCCATCAGTCTTCTTTGTACTGCAATACCTTATTTCCTTAATTGATAAAATGTAATTAATTATTTTAAACACCTCCTATAAAAATGGGTTTTTCCTCCCCCCCAAATTATTCGCTTTCTGCCCTTCAAAAACTCCCCAGACCTGAGGATTTCTCAGCTGTCCTTTTAAGCCACATACAAAGTCTCTTTGGCCAAGGATATAATGCTAAATATAAAACATTTGGCCTTGGAGTGATGAAGGGTGGCAATGTTAGAGTGAGAATTTGGATGCAGTAATAATGAGTTCTCCAAAAGAGGAGAATAATTTGTTCTCCATTTTTTTCTCTGTGGAGTACCCATATCTTTTCACAGATTCTTCAAATAAATATTAACAACTGCTCAGCTGTGAGGAGCAGCCTGGGCCTGAGCTGCAGGAGCAGCTGTTCACTGAATTACATCTGAGATTTTACAAGGCCCTGACATTGGTTTTAAGAAACTAGTCTGAAAATCATGAATTATCCTAAAATGTAGGAAAAATTATAGTCATATGCTCTTAAAAGGTTGAAGGTTTGCCTTTTTAAGCTTATCTCCAAAATGAAAAGGATTGTTACATATATATGGTTGGAGCATATATATGCACACAAAATGAAGATAGCCATTTCCTTTTACAAGTCCAACAGAGACATGGACCAGCTGCTGGATTAAGAGCTCTGGGAAGAGCACCCATTATTACTGAATGCCTCTGACTTTAAGTATTTGGGTCTGATCTCATTTCAGTAGCTGTCTGCTTTAAGGTAATTTTTTCCTTGATTTTTAAAAACATGATCTGATTGTTTTCAGGAAGGGGACAAGTCAGAATTATTTTTCTTCATGTTTCTGGTAATGGCCAGGGAAACCATTGCCTTGGAATGCTTCTGCCTCCTCTCTATGGGGGACAAGGGAAACTGTGAGCAGAGAAAGCTGATGAACACACAGGCAACACTCAGGCACCCAGTAGATAGCCATGTGAAACACAGGCATGGTGAAGAAGCATTGTAGATGGAGATTCAACTGCAGAAGAGAAGAGCTAGATATTTAAGATACTGCATAGTTTTTGTAATGCAACTATATTTGGACCAGGAAATTTGGGTCATGAACTAGGCTGAGGACTGGCATACTGGAATGGGAATCAGGAGGCTTCAGGAGGATGAGCAGACAAGGGGAGGAAGTTTAGGAACTGCAAAACAAAATGTCATTGGGTGGCTGGAAACCAGTGGATTGAGATGGAAACTGAGGCTGAAGGAGAAGAGGGGAGAGCAAAGCTGGTAGATCAAATAGGCTAAACCTGTGACCTGGCTAAACCTGTGACCTGTAGTTTGGGAAAAACAGATAAAATGAAGGAAACAGATCTGCTAACTGTGAAGGTGAGAACTGGAGCTTCCTGAGCAGTAGGTTAGAGGATTCTGAGATTGGCTGAGAAGCAGAAGCAGCAGTTTGGGAGAGACAGTGAGTGGCTGGGACAAGGGCGTTCAGAGAGAAGGACTGGATGGTTGAGCTGGGCTTGGGAGCTTTGGCAAAGAGGGAGTGGGACTCCCTGAGCAAGGACCGTGGGCCTGGCAGTATTGACGGGAAATGCTGAGGGGGGGGTTGGCGAGGTGAGAAACACAGGACTATGGTGAGGAGCCAGTGGTGTGACAGACCAGTTCATTCTTTAAAAGGTCAGGAAACAATACATGACAACAGTGTTAAATGGACATAACTGAGATTATAAACGTGTTTACCTGAAACTTAGGTTGTGTCAGAATGAAATATATTTTGCAGATTGAATTTTGTGCAGGTCTTCATACACGTTAAAATCGTCCTTAGTGACATAACTGAATACTAATTTACCAGATGGCCTCTGCCTTTTTCTGTGCATAGGATGAACAATTCTTATTGTGCTATTCAAAATTTTCTGAAGCTCCCAAGGTTTTTTCCAAGTTATCTAAGGGACCTTTCTTTACTCTTGTTGTGAATACCAGGCTTCTGAAACTGCAAAGACAGTGTCTCCATTTGCAACACTTGTTGCCAGTCCTGGAGATGAGGGTAGCATACAGTCCAAGGCTGTATCTCCACGGCAGGATTCCCTGTCTGTGTTAGGAAACACACTTTGCAGAGTTAAAAAATAAGAAGGTGACCATATGTTTTGGACCAAAATATTAGGTATATTTCTATTTTCCCTAGTACTGAAAGAACAAAATTGCTTAAAATGTTAGAGAAAAACAATTCTTGAAATGCTAGTGCTTTTATGAAATCGTAAATTTTAAATGGCAGTAAAATGGATCCTCAATCAGTAAACATCAAGATAATAATGACTTATTTTTAAATGTTCTGGATTGTTCAATTCACCAATTCTTTCTCAAAACCATCTCAGTTTACTTGGTTCAGTTTCAAGGCTCTGAGAAACAAGGTTTATAAAGTAAGAATGGTTGTGGTGTTAATTGCAGTGAAGTGAACGTTGAACCATGTCACCTACAAAGCTCCAAATGAAGCTATGTTTTTTGTGGCATGCAAGTTAGGCCAAGCTGTCTCCATTGCTTGTCCAGTTTAAGTGTCTTCTATTGTGAGGGAATATTACAGTATTTTTTATTTGTATTTTCAGTTAGATGTTTGCCAGTGCAATTGTAAGGAATAGGCCTTAGGGCAGGTTTGAAAGGGCCCCCATAATTTGTCAGCCAGCATGAAGCAGATGTGAAGCACAGTGCTACAGGCTTGTTCTGTGTGGCTACAGGCTTTC